ATAATAATAATAATAATAATAATAATAATAATAATAATAATAATAATAATGGTGATGGAGTCTCCTTATATGGAGGTTTTCAAGCAAAGTGTGGATGGCCATCTGTCGGGAGGGCTTGGATGGTGTCTTCCTGCATAACAGAATAGGGTTGGATTGGATGGCCTTGGGGTCCCCTCTAACTCTAGGCTTCAATAATAATAATAATAATAATAATAATAATAATAATAATAATGGTGATGGAGTTTTCAAGGAGAGGCTGGGTGGACATCTGTCAGGAGGGATTAGATTGTGCCTTCCTGCTTTGATTGGACTGGATGGCCCTGGGAGTTTCTTCTAACTAGGCTTCAATTGTAATAATCTAATAATAATAATAATAATGACAGTATCTCCTTCTCTGGAGGTCTTTAAGCAGAATCTGAATGGCCATCTGTCGGGAGGGCTTGGATGGTGTCTTCCTGCATAGCAGAATGGGGTTGAGCTGGATGGCTGTAACATTTAGCAGCTCATTAAATTTTCTATTAATCTCCCCAACATTATACTCCTAGGGAGATAGGGCGAGTCATAAATAAAGTATATTATTATTATTATTATTACTATTATTATTGACACAAAAACATAGTATATCACAGCAAACGAGATATATATGTTGGATTTCATATCACAAAATCACAAGTCGAACACTTCCCAAGTGTCTAGGACTGTGTAATGTATTTATTATTATTATTATTATTATTATTAATATTATTATTATTATTATTACTATTTTGTTGTTGTTGTTATTATTATACCCCAAATCTGCCTTTTCCCGCAGCTCCACTTACCTTCAGCCATGTGGTCAAGCGTCTCCTGTCCGAATGGTCCTTCGGCCTCTGCATTGCAATTAATCATTAATTGGCTGTTATCCTAATGATAAGGAGACTGGCAGGCCATTGGTTTAAATCGTTAAAGCCCTCCCAACAGACGGCCATCCAGCCTCTGTTCAAAAACCTCCAGTTAGGGAGATTCCACTGTTAGAAAGGGTCCCCCAAAGGGCATCTAGTCCAATCTCACATCAGCCAGGACTGGATGGGGCCGTGAATGTCACCAGTGAATGTTAGATTGTGTGTTATTATTATTGTTATTTGATACACAACAAGATTGGTATCACAAATTGGACACGTCCCAAGAGTCTAGGACTGTGTGATGTATCGGCGCATAATGTGTTTGGATTCAAATAGGGTGGCCTATTCGATGGCAATTTTGTCAGCGCTGATTGTTTTTAAGTCCAAGCCAAGGTCTTTAGGCACTGCACCCAGTGTGCCGATCACCACTGGGACCACTTTGACTGGCTTGTGCCGGAGTATTTGCATTATTATTATTATTATTATTTGGATGGTAATTTTGTCAGCACCAATTGTTTTTAAGTCCAGGCCAAGGTCTTTAGGTACTTCACCCAGTATGCCAATCACTACTGGGACCACCTTCAATGGCTTGTGCCAGAGTCTATTATTATTATTATTATTATTATTATTATTAGTATTATTTGGCCTTTTGTAGCTGACAGATGGTAATTTTGTCAGCACCGATTGTTTTTAAGTCCAGGCCAAGGCCTTTAGGCACTGCACCCAGTGTGCTGATCTCCACTGGGAGCACCTTCAATGGCTTGTCACAGAGTCTTTGCATTATTATTATTATTATTAGTAGTATTATTTGGCCTTTTGTAGCTGACAGATGGTAATTTTGTCGGAGCCAATTGTTTTTAAGTCCAGGCCAAGGTCTTTAGGCACTGCACCCAGTGTGCCAATCAACACTGGGACCACCTTCAGTGGCTTGTGCCAGAATCTTTGCGTTATTATTATTATTATTATTATTATTATTATTAGGCCTTTGTAGCTGACAGATGGTAATTTTGTCAGCGAAGAATGTTTTTAAGTCCAGGCCAAGGTCTTTAGGCACTGCACCCAGTGTGCCAATCAGCACTGGGACCACCTTCAATGGCTTGTGCCAGAATCTTTTCATTATTATTATTATTTGGCCTTTTGTAGCTGACAGATGGTAATTTTGTCAGCGCCGATTGTTTTTAAGTCCAGGCCAAGGTCATTAGGCACCGCACCCCGTGTGCCGAACAGCACTGGGACCACCTTCAATGGCTTGTGCCAGAGTCTTTGCATTATTATTATTATTATTATTATTATTATTATTATTATTATTTGGCCTTTTGTAGCTGACAGATGGTAATTTTGTCAGCACCGATTGTTTTTAAGGCCAGGCCAAGGTCTTTAGGCACTGCACCCAGTGTGCCAATCAGCACTGGGACCACCTTCAATGGCTTGTGCCAGAGTCTTTACATTATTATTATTATTATTATTATTATTATTATTATTATTATTTGGATGGTAATTTTGTCAGCACCAATTGTTTTTAAGTCCAGGCCAAGGTCTTTAGGCACTGCACCCAGTGTGCCGATCACCACTGGGACCACCTTCAATGGCTTGTGCCAGAATCTTTGCATTATTATTATTATTATTATTATTATTATTATTTGGCCTTTTATAGCTGACAGATGGTAATTTTGTTTTTAAGTCCAGGCCAAGGTCTTTAGGCACTGCACCCAGTGTGCCGATCACCACTGGGACCACCTTCAATGGCTTGTGCCAGAGCCTTTGCATTATTATTATTATTATTATTATTATTATTATTTGGCCATTTGTAGCTGACAGATGGTAATTTTGTCAGCACAAATTGTTTTTAAGTCCGGGCCAAGGTCTTTAGGCACTGCACCCAGTGTGCCGATCACCACTGGGACCACCTTCAATGGCTTGTGCCAGAGTCTATTATTATTATTATTATTATTATTATTATTATTATTATTAGTATTATTTGGCCTTTTGTAGCTGACAGATGGTAATTTTGTCAGCACCGATTGTTTTTAAGTCCAGGCCAAGGCCTTTAGGCACTGCACCCAGTGTGCTGATCTCCACTGGGAGCACCTTCAATGGCTTGTCACAGAGTCTTTGCATTATTATTATTATTATTAGTAGTATTATTTGGCCTTTTGTAGCTGACAGATGGTAATTTTGTCGGAGCCAATTGTTTTTAAGTCCAGGCCAAGGTCTTTAGGCACTGCACCCAGTGTGCCAATCAACACTGGGACCACCTTCAGTGGCTTGTGCCAGAATCTTTGCGTTATTATTATTATTATTATTATTATTATTATTATTAGGCCTTTGTAGCTGACAGATGGTAATTTTGTCAGCGAAGAATGTTTTTAAGTCCAGGCCAAGGTCTTTAGGCACTGCACCCAGTGTGCCAATCAGCACTGGGACCACCTTCAATGGCTTGTGCCAGAATCTTTTCATTATTATTATTATTTGGCCTTTTGTAGCTGCAGATGGTAATTTTGTCAGCGCTGATTGTGTTTAAGTGCAGGTCAAGGTCTTGAGGCACTGCACCCAGGGTGCCGATCACCACTGGGACCACCTTAACTGGCAATTATTATTATTATTATTATTATTATTATTATTATTATTATTATGGCCTTTTGTAGCTGACAGATGGTAATTTTGTCAGCACCGATTGTTTTTAAGGCCAGGCCAAGGTCTTTAGGCACTGCACCCAGTGTGCCAATCAGCACTGGGACCACCTTCAATGGCTTGTGCCAGAGTCTTTACATTATTATTATTATTATTATTATTATTATTATTATTATTATTTGGATGGTAATTTTGTCAGCACCAATTGTTTTTAAGTCCAGGCCAAGGTCTTTAGGCACTGCACCCAGTGTGCCGATCACCACTGGGACCACCTTCAATGGCTTGTGCCAGAATCTTTGCATTATTATTATTATTATTATTATTATTATTATTTGGCCTTTTATAGCTGACAGATGGTAATTTTGTTTTTAAGTCCAGGCCAAGGTCTTTAGGCACTGCACCCAGTGTGCCGATCACCACTGGGACCACCTTCAATGGCTTGTGCCAGAGCCTTTGCATTATTATTATTATTATTATTATTATTATTATTTGGCCATTTGTAGCTGACAGATGGTAATTTTGTCAGCACAAATTGTTTTTAAGTCCGGGCCAAGGTCTTTAGGCACTGCACCCAGTGTGCCGATCACCACTGGGACCACCTTCAATGGCTTGTGCCAGAGTCTATTATTATTATTATTATTATTATTATTATTATTATTATTATTATTATTTAGGACTTCAAGCCTTTGCTTGAAGTAGTAACTGGTTAAAGGTGATCCCAATACGCTTACCTTTCCGGATAATCTCCACCGCACCATCTATGTCTCCGCCATACTTCCCTGGCATTATTTACTCCGGACAAACCTCTCCGAAGCATCTCCAGCAAAGCCTGGGTTGAAGAATGGTGGAAAAAACCCTTTCCAGGAAGGTTTTCGTTGTGGGTTAGAGGTTTCCAAACCAAAGATCTCCGAGAAGTTTACAAACAAGTTCAACAAGCTTTGAAAGGTTACTGTGCAAACAACTAGTTCACTGCGACATTGGTAGCAGTAGTAGGAAGTTACGGACTTAGGAGTTTAGTGGGTTTAGTGGATGGCCATCTGTTGGGAGGGCTTTAATGGTGTCTTCCTACTTGGCAGAATGGGGATGGACTGGATGACCTTTGAGGTCCCCTTTCCAATTCTATTTAAATATAGACTGCTTTGAAGTCCAGTAGAGTTTTCATCCCTGAGGTTTTGATATAGCAGCTGCATGGTTGTCTGTCGGGAGGGCTTTGATGGTGCCTTCCTGCCTGGAAGAATGGGCTTGGTCTGGATGACCTTGGAACTCCCTTTCCAATTCTATTTAAACATAGACTGCCTTGAAGTCTGGTAGAGTTTTCACCCCTGGAGGTTTTGATATAGCAACTGCATGGCCGTCTGTCGGGAGGGCTTTGATGGTGTCCTCCTGCCTGGCAGAATGGGGTTGGTCTGGATGACCTTGGAGGTCCCCTTTCCAATTCTATTTAAATATAGACTGCCTTGAAGTCTGGTAGAGTTTTCATCCCTGAGGTTTTGATACAGCGGCTGCATGGCTGTCTGTCGGGAGGGCTTTGATGGTGCCTTCCTGCCGACAGAATGGCATTGGTCTGGATGACCTTGGAGGTCCCCTTTCCAATTCTATTTAAATATAGACTGCCTTGAAGTTCGGTAGAATTTTCATCCCTGGTGGTTTTGATACAGCAGCTGCATGGCCATCTGTCGGGAGGGGTTTGATGGTGACTTCCTGCCTGGCAGAATGGGCTTGGTCTAGATGGCTTTTGGGGTTCCCTTTCCAATTCTATTTAAATATAGACTGCCTTGAAGTCTGGTAGAGTATTCATCCCTGAGGTTTTGATATAGCAACTGCATGGCCGTCTGTCGGGAGGGCTTTGATGGTGCCTTCCTGCTGACAGAATGGCATTGGTCTGGGTGAACTTTGAGGTCCGCTTTCCAATTCTATTTAAATATAGACTGCTTTGAAGTCCAGTAGAGTTTTCATCCCTGAGGTTTTGATATAGCAGCTGCATGGTTGTCTGTCGGGAGGGCTTTGATGGTGCCTTCCTGCCTGGAAGAATGGGCTTGGTCTGGATGACCTTTGAGGTCCCCTTTCCAATTACATTTAAATATAGACTGCCTTGAAGTCCAGTAGAGTTTTCATCCCTGAGGTTTTGATACAGCGGCTGCATGGCTGTCTGTCGGGAGGGCTTTGATGGTGCATTCCTGCCGACAGAATGGCATTGGTCTGGATGACCTTTGAGGTCCCCTTTCCAATTCTATTTAAATATAGACTGCCTTGAAGTTCGGTAGAGTTTTCATCCCTGGTGGTTTTGATACAGCAGCTGCATGGCCATCTGTCGGGAGGGGTTTGATGGTGTCTTCCTGCCAACAGAATGGGGTTGGTCTGGGTGGCCTTTGGGATGCCCTTTCTAATTCAGTTGAAATATAACTTCCCTGGGTGTCTGGTGCAGTCATCATCCCTGAAGGTTTTGATAAAGTGGCTGCATGACCATCTGTCAGGAGTGCTTTGATGGTGTCTTCCTGCCAACAGAATGCGGTTGGTTTGGATTACCATGGAGGTCCCTTTTCCAATTCTATTTAAATATAGACTGCCTTGGAGTCTGGTAGAGTTTTCCCCCCTGGAGGTTTTGATACAGCAGCTGCATGGCTGTCTGTCTGGAGGGCTTTGATGGTGTCTTCCTGCCTGGCAGAATGGAGTTGGTCTGGATGGCCTTTGGGGTTCCCTTTCCAATTCGATCGCAATATAACTTCCTTTGGTGTCTGGTGCAGTTGTCATCCCTGGAGGTTTTCATGCAGTGGCTGCATGGCCATCTGTCGGTAGGGCTTTGTTGGTGTCTTCCTGCCTGGCACAATGGACTAGATGGCTGTTGGGGTTCCCTTCCAATTGACACAAACAAGAAAAGAGATTCCTCCTAATCATTAAGGAGGATTTTCAACACTGTAAGTGCTGAGAGTGAAACAACAACAACAACAACGACAATATTAGTAAATAATAATAATAATAATAATAATAATAATAATAATAATAATATATTTATATTTATTTACTATATCCAGCTTTGTCTCTCTAAAGAGTCCCGAAGTGGCTAACAACATGATAAATAATACTATATATATATATATATATATATATATATATATATATATATATATCTATCTTTAAAAACCCACACCATAGTTTGTCCCCGAGTTACAAACATCTGACTCATAGATAAGAACGGGGTTGAGACAACAGGAAGTGAGAGGAAACGGAAAGAGTTATGATCATGGGGAGAAGGGGTCTCCAATGAAGCTTTATTTCCAATCCATGTATTTAGTAGAGATACATTTTGGTGTGTAACTTTTATAGAATTACATTTGTAACTTTTATGTATGTGTGTAACTTTTATGGAGATACATTGTATGTAGTGTGTGTATTTGTAGTGTTTTTGCTATGCTTATTGTATTTTAATGTTTTTGTAAACTGTTTTGTATTATTATTATTATTATTATTATTTGGCCTTTTATTTGTCAGTGCCGATTGTTTTTAAGTGCAGGCCAAGGTCTTTAGGCACAGCACCCAGTGTGCCGATCACTACTGAGACTACCTTTACTGCCTTGTGCCAGAGTCTTTGCTGCATTATTATTATTATTATAATAATAATTATTTGGCCTTTTGCAGCTGACAGATGGTAATTTTGTCTGCGCCGATTGTTTTTAAGTGCAGGCCAAGGTCTTGAGGAACTGCATCCAGTGTGCCGATCATTACTGGGACTACCTTTACTGGCTTGTGCCAGAGTCTTTGCTTTATTATTATTATTATTATTATTATTATTATTATTAGGCCTTTTTGCGGCTGACATATGGTAATTTTGTCAGCGCCAATTGTTTTTAAGTGCAGGCCAAGGTCTTGAGGCAGTGCACCCAGTGTGCCGATCACCACTGGGACTACCATTACTGCCTTGTGCTAGAGTTTTTGCTGCATTATTATTATTATTATTATTATTATTATTATTATTATTATTATTTGAAACACAACAAGTACACAGCAAACAAGGTCACAATGCTGGGTGTTGTATTGGATCACACACTGGACACTTCCCAAGTGTCTAGGACTGTGTGATGTATCAGCAAATAATGCATACAGATCCGTGTTTTGCAGTTGACAGATGGTAATTTTGTCAGTGCTGATTGTTTTTAAGTGCAGGCCCAGGTCTTGAGGCACTGCACCTAGTGTGCCGATCACCACTGGGACCACCTTGACTGGCTTGTAATAATAATAATAATAATTAGAAACACAACAAGATGAGTACACAGGCCAAGGTTTTGAGGCCCTGCACCCAGTGTGCCGATCACCACTGGGACCACCTTGACTGGCTTGTGCCAGAGTCTTTGCATTATTATTATGTCAGGATTATTGAGATATGTATGTGTGTTTTTCAATGTGTTTCTATGTAATTCAAGAAGAAGAGGGAAGAAGAGGGAGGATCTGGTCTCAGCCAGAAGTCAGATAAGCATATGTTCAGAAACTGTTGTTTTGTGCTTTGTAGTTCCTGATTATAGCTCGCTGTGTGAATTCGTGTCTTCTTCTTCTTCTTCTTCTTCTTCTTCTTCTTCTTATTATTATTATTATTATTATCCTGATTATTTGCTGTTGATCTAGCAAACTTTCCGCTGCACATCCCCCAAACTCTAACTTATTATTATTATTATTATTATTATTATTATTACCCTGTATATAGCTCGCTGTGTGAATTCGTGAATTCGACACGAAACGGGAGGGAGAGAAAGAGGGAAAGAAGGAGGGAAGGAAGGAAAGAAAGAAAGAAAGAAAGATAGAGAAGGAAGGAAGGAGAGAAAAGCCATGCTTGATATTAGCTGCTCAAGGATTGGGCTAACATTGGATCCAGTTGTCTACTGGATGAATGGCGGGCATGAATCTTATTGATGACTCGCAAAGAAAGAAAGGTAGAGAAGGAGAAGGAAGAAGGAAAAAAAAGAAGGAGGAGAAGGAAAGAAAGAAAGAAGGGGTAGAGAAGGAAGGAAGAGGGAGAGGAGGGAAGAAGAGAGGAGAAGGAAAGAAAGAAAGGAAGATAGAGAAGGAAGGAAAGAGAGAAGGAGGGAAAGAAGGAGAGAAGGAAAGAAAGAAAGGTAGAGAAGAAAGGAGGGAGAGGAAGAGGGAAAGAAGGAGGGAAGGAAAGAAAGAAAGAAAGCAGGGTAGAGAAGGAAGGAAGGGGAGAGGAGGGAAAGAAGGAGAGAAGGAAAGAAAGAAAGGAAGATAGAGAAGGAAGGAAAGAGAGGAGGAGGGAAAGAAGGAGAGAAGGAAAGAAAGAAAGGTAGAGAAGAAAGGAGGGAGAGGAAGAGGGAAAGAAGGAGGGAAGGAAAGAAAGAAAGAAAGCAGGGTAGAGAAGGAAGGAAGGGGAGAGGAGGGAAAGAAGGAGAGAAGGAAAGAAAGAAAGGAAGATAGAGAAGGAAGGAAAGAGAGGAGGAGGGAAAGAAGGAGAGAAGGAAAGAAAGAAAGGTAGAGAAGAAAGGAGGGAGAGGAAGAGGGAAAGAAGGAGGGAAGGAAAGAAAGAAAGAAAGCAGGGTAGAGAAGGAAGGAAGGGGAGAGGAGGGAAAGAAGGAGAGAAGGAAAGAAAGAAAGGAAGATAGAGAAGGAAGGAAAGAGAGGAGGAGGGAAAGAAGGAGAGAAGGAAAGAAAGAAAGGTAGAGAAGAAAGGAGGGAGAGAAAGAGGGAAAGAAGGAGGGAAGGAAAGAAAGAAAGAAGGGTAGAGAAGGAAGGAAGGGGAGAGGAGGGAAAGAGAAGGAAAGAAAGAAAGGAAGATAGAGGAGGAAGGAAAGAGAGGAGGAGGGAAAGAAGGAGAGAAGGAAAGAAAGAAAGGTAGAGAAGAAAGGAGGGAGAGAAAGAGGGAAAGAAGGAGGGAAGGAAAGAAAGAAAGCAGGGTAGAGAAGGAAGGAAGGGGAGAGGAGGGAAAGAAGGAGAGAAGGAAAGAAAGAAAGGAAGATAGAGAAGGAAGGAAAGAGAGGAGGAGGGAAAGAAGGAGAGAAGGAAAGAAAGAAAGGTAGAGAAGAAAGGAGGGAGAGAAAGAGGGAAAGAAGGAGGGAAGGAAAGAAAGAAAGCAGGGTAGAGAAGGAAGGAAGGGGAGAGGAGGGAAAGAAGGAGAGAAGGAAAGAAAGAAAGGAAGATAGAGAAGGAAGGAAAGAGAGGAGGAGGGAAAGAAGGAGAGAAGGAAAGAAAGAAAGGTAGAGAAGGAAGGAAAGAGAGAAGGAAATAAAAAAGTGAAAGAAGGAAGGAAGGAGAGAAGGAACGAAAGAGGGAAGGAAGGAAGGAAGGAAGGAAGGAAGGAAGGAAGGAAGGAAGGAAGGAAGGAAGGAAGGAAAGAGACAAGGAAGGATGAAACCAAACAGCAAAGGAAGCGAGAAAAGAAACAGGTAGAGAAGGAAGAAAGAAGAAGAGAAAGAAAAAGAGGGAAAGAAGGAAAGAGGGAGGGAAGGAAGGAGAGAGAAAAAGAAGGAGGAGAAAGAGGGAGGGAAGGTTTGCCACAGCAACGCGTGGCGGGTACAGCTACTAAATATATAGATATAGATATGGCTGGAGTTAGATTTAGGAAATGTGCCTGTTCCGACTTACATACAAATTCAACTTAAGAACAAACCTGTTAGTAACTCGGGGACTGCTCATAATATAAGATTAAATATCGAACTATTACAAACAAACAGTTAAAAAGCATTTACAATAAGTCCTATGCTCAGTCTCCAAGGCTTTCTTCTCCCTTTGGAGAGTGATGGACTCCCCATATTTCGTGGTCTAGGATTCTAGGATCCTATATCTTACTCCATGTCCCAGTTTGGCACTTTCTTGGGTCGGGAAATCCCAAGGAAAGTGACTCTGGTCCTCCTCCGTCAGACGGCGCAGTTGTCCCGAAGGAGCCAGAGGGCATCCATCCGGTCCCGGTGTTTCACCCGTTTCCTTTTCCTTTCTCCGAGGGACATGATAGGTTTCCAGTTTGGCAAGTCCTTGTGATGGCGGTGAAACCTTATTACTCATCGGTTGCCGGTTGGGAAACTGAGGCGGGTGCCTCGCCGCGATGGGGACGGGGGGTGGAGGGACGGCCGGCGGGGACAACGGACTCGCAGCTTCGGTGGACACTTGCACCTTGAGGTTGCTTTTGAACTGTTGACGGCGGGCGACCGATTCTCCGTGCCTTTGGGGTCGGAGGGGCTTCCCGTAAGCCGGCTCTATGGAGTCTCTTGTGGGGTCGAGCGATGTTGTGTCCATCAGAGCCAGTCGGTCGGACTCCTTGGCGTTGAGAGAAGAACTCCAGAACTCTAGAGAAAGAAAAGAGGGGTGAAGTCGGCCGACGACACTGTCACATTAATACGGTTTGATCTCAGTGTTGTTTTCTGAGGCTGAGAGAGTGTGACCTGTCACTCACCGAGTCCTAAATGCGCAATAGCCTCCAGTTGCTGGCAAGAGGACGCTTCCCGGATGGGCCGTGGGAGGCGTAAAGGAACTGGGAGGATGTCCCTGGGAGAACAAAGAGGAGAAGAGGTTCTTTGTCAGCTCTTAATGGGTTTTTTTTAAGCATAGCCTTTGAAGAGGGAGAAGATGCCAAACTTATCAATCCCAGATTTTCAAATCACGCCAGTTTCCCTAAATGTGTCTTTTTCGGATCGAAGGCTGGTGGGTTACAAACAGCCCAAGAGAAGCACTGAGTTTCACCAATAAACAGAAATAGTAATAAATAATAATAATAATAATAATAATAATAATAATAATAATACCAAAAAGTGGAATCTTAAATCTGTGTAATCCGATGCATTTGCATTTACATGGTATGCTACTTAGTAAGAATATCTATCTCTCTTCTCTCTCTCTCTCTCTCTCTCTCTCTCTCTCTCTATCTATCTATCTATCTCAGCAGGACAAATATTCACCTGGGGAAAAATGTTCTCTAGGCATTTGTTAGTTACTATAGAGTTGCACTAGAGTTACTATGGAGTTGCTTTGGTGTTACTATAGTTGTACTGGGGCTACTATGAAATAGAGTTGCACTGGAGCTACTATAGAGTTGCATTGGAATTGTTGCACTGGAGTTACTACAGAGTTGCACTGGAGCTACTATAGAGTTGCACTGGAGTTAGTATAAAGCTGCACTGGAGTTACTATAGAGTTGCATTACAGTTATTATAGAGTTGCATTGGAGTTACTATAGTTGTACTGGGGCTACTATGAAATAGAGTTGCACTGGAGCTACTATAGAGTTGCATTGGAATTGTTGCACTGGAGTTACTACAGAGTTGCACTAGAGCTACTATAGAGTTGCACTGAAGTTACTATAGAGTTGCACTGGAGTTAGTATAAAGCTGCACTGGAGTTACTATAGAGTTGCATTACAGTTATTATAGAGTTGCATTGGAGTTACTATAAAGCTGCACTGGAGTTAGTATAGAGTTGCATTGGAGTTGTTGCACTGGAGTTACTGCAGAGTTGCACTGGAGTTACTATAAAGCTGCACTGGAGTTAGTATTGCATTGGAGTTGTTGCACTTGGTTTACTATAGAGTTGCACTGCAGCTACTATAGAGTTGCACTGAAGTTACTATAGAGTTGCACTGGAGTTAGTATAAAGCTACACTGGAGTTACTATAGAGTTGCATTACAGTTATTATAGAGTTGCATTGGAGTTACTATAAAGCTGCACTGGAGTTAGTATAGAGTTGCATTGGAGTTGTTGCACTGGAGTTACTATAAAGCTGCACTGGAGTTAGTATTGCATTGGAGTTGTTGCACTTGGTTTACTATAGAGGCACTGGAGTTACTATAGAGTTGCATTGCAATTGTTGCACTGGAGCTACTATAGAGTTGCACTGGAGTTAGTATTGCATTGGTGTTGTTGCACTTGGTTTACTATAGAGTTGCACTGGAGTTAGTATAAAGCTGCACCGGAGTTACTATAGAGTTGCATTACAGTTATAGAGTTGCACTGGAGCTACTATAGAGTTGCACTGGAGTTAGTATAAAGCTGCACTGGAGTTACTATAGAGTTGAATTACAGTTATTATAGAGTTGCACTGAAGTTACTATAAAGCTGCACTGGAGTTAGTATAGAGTTGCATTGGAGTTGTTGCACTGGAGCTACTATAGAGTACCACTGGAGTTAGTATTGCATTGGAGTTGTTGCACTTGATTTACTATAGAGTTGCACTGGAGCTACTATAGAGTTGTACTGAAGTTACTATAAAGTAGCACTGGAGTTAGTATTGCATTGGAGTTGTTGCACTTGATTTACTATAGAGTTGCACTGGAGCTACTATAGAGTTGCACTGAAGTTACTATAGAGTTGCACTGGAGTTACTATAAAGCTGCACTGGAATTAGTATAGAGTTGCATTGGAGTTGTTGCAAGGGAGTTATTATAGAGTTGCATTGGAGTTGTTGCACTGGAGTTGTTGCACTGGAGTTGCTATAGAGTTGCACTGGAGTTACTATGGAGTTGCATTAGAGTTACTATAAAGTTGCACTGGATTTACTATAGAGTTGCACTGGAGCTACTATAGAGTTATTATAGAGTTGCACTGGAGTTACTATAGACTTGCATTCGAGCTACTATATATTCTAGTGAAGGTATATAGTTTAAAGAAACATGTTGAAAGTATACAGTTTTATTTAATGTATTTTATGAATAATAATACTAATTTACTTATTTATGTGGCTCAAGGCCGGTAATAAATAAATTATGATTACTGTTGTTGTCGTCGTCATCCTCATTATAGCTTGTGTGCAAGAAGTAGTGGTTAACTTTCATGCTTTTCAAACTTTTGTAGTCTATGTTTTTTCAGTTTGAGCCCCATTCGGGGTGTGTGTGTAACAACAACAACAACAACAATAATAATAATTGTTTTTATTGTTATTATATTATATTATAATATTATATTAATTTATTATTATTTTGTATTATATTATATTTGTTATTATATTATATTATATTATAAATATTGTGTATTATATTATTATTTTGTATTATATTATATTTGTTGTTATATTATATTATATTATATTATAAATATTGTGTATTATATTATTATTTTGTATTATATTATATTTGTTGTTATATTATATTATATTATATTATATTATATTATATTATATTATATTATATTATAAATAATTTCTTTTTGCCTATGTGGACAATATGGAATTTTCCGCCTGGGGTCTTTCCAAGCCAGACCCTGAGAGGCTCAGATAAGCGATCTCTTTCGAAAGCAGGTGGTTTAGCACTAAATTACGACTTGAAAAGCAAATAAGGTTAAAGTTCTCATGGTCTGAGTCATATTTTTTTTTTTTGCATGATCTATTTCCATAGAGGTGAGTGCAAAAAAACCCAACTTACGGGGTGGAGCAATAGGCAGCGATGAGGTGCAGGAGGCTGGGGAAAGTCAGGTCCGAGCCTTCCAAAAAGACGACTGCAAGGAGAAGGAAAACAAACCAGTGAACGGGGAAAATCTTTCCAGGAATGATGTTTCTATTCAGCAGTGTTTACTCGATGCCATGCCATTGTTATTGTTTGCTTCCGACTTATGGTAATCCTGGTCTTTTCTAAGCGAAGGAAGGAAAGATATAGAGAAGGAAGAAAAGAGAGAAAGGAGAAGGAAAAGAAAAAGGCGGAAGGATGTAAAGAGGTAGAGAAGGAAGGAAGGAAGGAGAGAAGGAAAGAAAAATGGAGGGAGGGAAAGAAGGAGAGAAAGAGGGAGGGAAGGAAAGAAGGAAAGAGAGAAGGAAGCATGGAAGCAAAGGAAGGAAAAGAGATAGAGAAGGAAGAAAAGAGAGAAAGAGGAAGGAAAAGAAAGGGAGAAAGGAGAGAAGGAAAGAAAAAATGGAAGGAAGAAAGAGGGAGCAAAGGAAGGAGGGGAAGGAGAGAAAGAGGGAGGGAAGGAAAGAAGGAAAGAGAGAAGGAAGCATGGAAGCAAAGGAAGGAAGGAAAGAGATAGAGAAGGAAGAAAAGAGAGAAAGAGGAAGGAAAAGAAAAAGGAGGGAGGAAGGAAAGAGGTAGAGAAGGAAGGAAAGAAAAATGGAAGGAAGGAAAGAGGGAGCAAAGGAAGGAGGGGAAGGAGAGAAAGAGGGAGGGAAGGAAAGAAGGAAAGAGAGAAGGAAGCATGGAAGCAAAGGAAGGAAGGAAAGAGATAGAGAAGGAAGAAAAGAGAGAAAGAGGAAGGAAAAGAAAAAGGAGGGAGGAAGGAAAGAGGTAGAGAAGGAAGGAAGGAGAGAAGGAAAGAAAAAATGGAAGGAAGGAAAGAGGGAGAAAAGGAAGGAGGGAAAGAAGGAAAGAAAGAGGGAGGGAAGGAGAGAAGGAAAGAGAGAAGAAAGTGGAAGCCAAAAGTGAAGGAAGGAGAGAAAGAGGGAGGGAAGGAAAGAAGGAAAAAGAGAAGGAAGGATGGAAGCAAAAGCGAAGGAAGGAAAGAGATAGAGAAGGAAGAAAAGAGAGGAAGGGGAAGGAAAAGAAAAAGGAGGGAGGGAGGAAAGAGGTAGAGAAGGAAGGAAGGAGAGAAGGAAAGAAAAAATGGAAGGAAGGAAAGAGGGAGCAAAGGAAGGAGGGGAAGAAGGAGAGAAAGAGGGAGGGAAGGAAAGAAGGAAAGAGAGAAGGAAGCATGGAAGCAAAGGAAGGAAGGAAAGAGATAGAGAAGGAAGAAAAGAGAGAAAGAGGAAGGAAAAGAAAAAGGAGGGAGGAAGGAAAGAGGTAGAGAAGGAAGGAAGGAGAGAAGGAAAGAAATTGAACGAAGGAAAGAGGGAGCAAAAGAAGGAGGGAAAGAAGGAGAGAAAGAGATAGAGAAGGAAGAAAGGAGAGAAAGAGAAAGGAAAAGAAAAAGGGGGGAGGAAGGAAAGAGGTAGAGAAGGAAGGAAAGAAAAATGGAAGGAAAGAGGGAGCAAAGGAAGGAGGGAAAGAAGAAGAGAAAGAGGTAGGGAAGGAAAGAAGGAAAGATAGAAGGAAACATGGAAGCAAAAAGTGAAGGAAGGAAAGGGACAGAGAAGGAAGAAAAGAGAGAAAAGAAAAAGGGAGGAAGGAAAGAGGAAGAGAAGGAAGGAAAGAAAGGGAAGAAGGAAGGAAAGAGGGAGCAAAGGAAGGAGGGGAAGGAGAGAAAGAGGGAGGGAAGGAAAGAAGGAAAGAGAGAAGGAAGCATGGAAGCAAAGGAAGGAAGGAAAGAGATAGAGAAGGAAGAAAAGAGAGAAAGAGGAAGGAAAAGAAAAAGGAGGGAGGAAGGAAAGAGGTAGAGAAGGAAGGAAGGAGAGAGAAAACAGGAGGGAAAGAAGGAAAGAAAGAGGGAGGGAAGGAGAGAAGGAAAGAGAGAAGAATGATGGAAGCAAAAAGTGAAGGAAGGAAGGAGAGAAAGAGGGAGGGAAGGAAAGAAGGAAAGAGAGAAGGAAGCATGGAAGCAAAGGAAGGAAGGAAAGAGACAGAGAAGGAAGAAAACAGGAGGGAAAGAAGGAAAGAAAGAGGGAGGGAAGGAGAGAAGGAAAGAGAGAAGAATGATGGAAGCAAAAAGTGAAGGAAGGAAGGAGAGAAAGAGGGAGGGAAGGAAAGAAGGAAAGAGAGAAGGAAGCATGGAAGCAGAGGAAGGAAGGAAAGAGATAGAGAAGGAAGAAAGGAGAGAAAGAGGAAGGAAAAGAAAAAGGGGGGAGGAAGGAAAGAGGTAGAGAAGGAAGGAAAGAAAAAATGGAAGGAAGGAAAGAGGGAGCAAAGGAAGGAGAGGAAGAAGGAGAGAAAGAGGGAGGGAAGAAGGAAAGAGAGAAGGAAGCATGGAAGCAAAGGAAGGAAAAAAGAGAGAAAGAGGAAGGAAAAGAAAAAGGGGGAAGGAAAGAAAGAGGTAGAGAACAAAGGATGGAGAGAAGGAAAGAAAAAATGGAAGGAAGGAAAGAGGGAGCAAAGGAAGGAGGGGAAGAAAGAGAGAAAGAGGGAGGGAAGGAAAGAAGAAAAGAGAGAAGGAAGCATGGAAGCAAAAGCGAAGGAAGGAAAGATAGGAAGAAAGGTGAGAAAGAGGAAGGAAAAGAAAAAGGAGGGAGGAAGGAAAGAGGTAGAGAAGGAAGGAAAGAAAAATGGAAGGAAGGAAAGAGGGAGCAAAGGAAGGAGGGAAAGAAGGAGAGAAAGAGGGAGGGAAGGAAAGAAGGAAAGAGAGAAGGAAGCATGGAAGCAAAAAGCAAAGGAAGGAAAGAGATAGAGAAGGAAGAAAGGAGATAAAGAGGAAGGAAAAGAAAAAGGAGGGAGGAAGGAAAGAGGTAGAGAAGGAAGGAAGGAGAGAAGGAAAGAAAAAATGGAAGGAAGGAAAGAGGGAGAAAAGGAAGGAGGGAAAGAAGGAAAGAAAGAGGGAGGGAAGGAGAGAAGGAAAGAGAGAAGAAAGATGGAAACAAAAAGCGAAGGAAGGAAAGAGATAGAGAAGGAAGAAAAGAGAGAAAGAGGAAGGAAAAGAAAAGGGGGAAGGAAGGAAAGAGGTAGAGAAGGAAGGAAGGAGAGAAGGAAAGAAAAAAGGGAAGGAAGGAAAGAGGGAGCAAAGGAAGGAGGAAAGAAGGAGAGAAAGAGAGAGGGAAGGAGAGAATGAAGCATGGAAAGCAAAAAGCAAAGGAAGGAAACAGATAGAGAAGGAAGAAAGGAGAGAAAGAGGAAGGAAAAGAAAAAGGGGGAAGGAAAGAATGAGCTAGAGAACGAAGGAAGGAGAGAAGGAAATAAAAAGGGAAAGGAAGAAAAGGGGGCGAAGGAAGGAGGGAAAGAAGGAAAGAAAGAAGGAGGGAAGGAGAGAAGGAAAGAGGGAAGAAAGATGGAAGCAAAAAGTGAAGGAAGGAAGGAGAGAAAGAGGGAGGGAAGGAAAGAAGGAAGGAGAGAAGGAAGCATGGAAACAAAGAGTGAAGGAAGGAAAGAGATGCAGAAGGAAAGAGAGAAAGGGGAAGGAAAAGAAATAGGGAGAAGGAAGGAAAGAGATAGAGAGAAGAAGGAGAGAAGGAAGGAAAAAAAAGGAGAGAGAAAGGGGAAGGAAAGAAAAAAGGGAGAGGAAGGAGATAGAGAACGAAGGAAGGAGAGAAGGAAGGAAAAAAGAAAAGGAAGGAAAGAGGGGGAAGGAAGGAGGGAAGAAGGAGGAAAGAGGGAGGAGAAAAAAGAGGAAGGAAGATGGAAGAAAGGAAGGAAGAAGGAAGAGAGAAGAAGGAAGGAGAGAATGAAAGAAGAAAAGGGAAAGAAGGAAGGAAAGAGGGAGCAAAGGAAGGAGAGGAAGAAGTAGAGAAAGAGGGAGGGAACGTTGGCCACAGCAACACGTGGTGGGTACAGCTAGTATATATATATATATATATATATATATATATATATATATATATTATATGAATTCCCTTTCCTCCCACTTACCAGCCCGCTCCTGGTGCAAGCGGTAAGTCGTGACAAAAGCCGGTGAGGAGTTGTCAGGGAGACGCAAACTGAGCACTTGGCATCGGCGCACATTGGATCTCCGCACCAGAAACGTCTGGGAAGACAGGAAAACACCACAGAAGGTTAACAGAAGCAAGAAGGGTGCATCTACACGGTGCAATTAACACAGTTTGACGCCATTTCAGCTGCCACGGATCCATGCTATGGAAAGTCCCCAAACTAGCCCCTTAACAAGTTGCAAAGACTCCGAAACTTAACCCTAAAGACCAAAGACAAGCTCCAAAGATGTCTAAGGTAATGGTAAAGGTAGTCCCCTGACATTAAGTCTAGTCATGTCTGACTCTGGGGTGTGGTGCTCATCTCCATTTCTAAGCCGAAGAGCCAGCGCTGTCCGTAGACGCCTCCAAGGTCATGTGGCTGGCATGACTGCATGGAGCGCCGTTACCTTCCCGCTGGAGCGGTACCTATTGATCTACTCACATTTGCATGTTTTCGAACTGCTAGGTTGGCAGAAGCTAGGGCTGACAGCGGAAGCTCACACCGCTCCCCGGAATGGAACCTGCGACCTTTTGATCAACAAGCTCAGCAGCTCAGTGCTTTAACCCACTGTGCCACCGGAGGCTCCCCCAAAGATGTCTAACTGAACTCAAAGACCCCAAAACAAACCCTATATATCCACAAACAAGCCCTAGAGAACCCTTAAGATCAAAAACAAGCTCCAAAGACTCCCAAAACAAGCCCCAAAGACCCAAAACTTCATCCTAAAGACCAAAACAAGCCCTAAAAATCCCAAGACTAGCCCCAATGACCCCCAAACAAGCTCTAAAGACCCCCAAAACAAGCCCTGAAGACCCCAAACTGAACCCTTAAGATCGAAAACAAGCTCCAAAGACCCAAAACTTCATCCTAGACCAAAACAAGGCCTAAAAACCCCAAAGACTAGCCCCAAAGACCACAAAACAAGCTCTATACACCCTCAAAACATCCTAAAAACCCAAAACAAGCCCCAAAGATCCAAAACAAGCCCTAAAGACCCCAAAACAAGACCCAGAAACCCCAAACTAGCCCCAAAGATCCTCAATCTAGTCCTAAAGACCCCAAAACAAGACCCAGAGACCCCAAACTATCCCCCAAGATCCTCAATCTAGTCCTAAAGACCCCAAAACAAGACCCAGAGACCCCAAACTATCCCCCAAGATCCTCAATCTAGTCCTAAAGACCCCAAAACAAGACCCAGAGACCCCAAACTAGCCCCAAAGATCCTCAATCTAGTCCTAAAGACCCCAAAACAAGACCCAGAAACCCCAAACTAGCCCCAAAGATCCTCAATCTAGTCCTAAAGACCCCAAAACAAGACCCAGAGACCCCAAACTATCCCCCAAGATCCTCAATCTAGTCCTAAAGACCCCAAAACAAGACCCAGAGACCCCAAACTATCCCCCAAGATCCTCAATCTAGTCCTAAAGACCCCAAAACAAGACCCAGAGACCCCAAACTATCCCCCAAGATCCTCAATCTAGTCCTAAAGACCCCAAAACAAGACCCAGAGACCCCAAACTATCCCCCAAGATCCTCAATCTAGTCCTAAAGACCCCAAAACAAGACCCAGAGACCCCAAACTATCCCCCAAGATCCTCAATCTAGTCCTAAAGACCCCAAAACAAGACCCAGAGACCCCAAACTAGCCCCAAAGATCCTCAATCTAGTCCTAAAGACCCCAAAACAAGACCCAAAGACTCTTATCAGTTCTTATCAGTTTAATATCTGATATGTTCTCTATTTGAGAACTCTATTATTAAATGGGTAGAACTACAACTCCCAGCATCCCGTGGCAATCAAACCCCGCAAAGGAGTCTTCTTTACCCCGGGAGGCTCCCGTTGTAGGATATGGAGCGCAGCGGCTGAGTTGAGGCCCATCTGGAGCCAAACGGGTTGCGTGAGCCGCAGTCGCCCCACAAGGCTGATCTTCCGGGGGGACGACGGCACCCCGCGACGGGGGTCGGCATAGGGCTCGGGGTCGTCGTAGATGGGGTTGCGGGTCATCCTATGGGGGAGAGAAGGAGGAGAAGAAGTCTTGGAAATTACATTATAAGAGTCGAGACTGACCATAAGAATGTAGTAATGTACCTCGAGCAACATCATCATCATCATCATCATCATGCATAATGAGTCTATGATGTCCATATAGTGTCGTGAGTTGTCTTATATGAAGTCGACACTGATCATATAACGTAGCAGACTGCATAATATGCATCATATAAGAATCCTGCCTTGAGCCACATTGTTGTTGTCAGTGAGTCTATACTGACCATATAAAGCAGTTCGAAACTGCATTATATAGAAAAGTAGATGGACCCTTTTTTTGCTTTAGTATCCTAAACAGTCCTCTATTGTATCAGCACTACAATGTCTTTCTGTCTTCCTTTCTGTCTTCCTTCTTCTCTCTTTCCTCTCTCCTTTCCTTCCTCTCCTCCCTCTTTCTTCCCTTCTCCTTCCTTCCTTCCCTCCCTCCTTCCTTCCTTTCTCTTCTTCTTTCTTTCTTCCTCCTCCCTTCCTTCCCTCTTTCCTTCCTTCATTCCTTTCCTTCCTTCCTTCTTCTCTTCCTTCTTTCTTCTCTTTCTTTCTTTCATTTCTTTTTTCCTTCTTCTTTTTCTTTCTTTCTTTCCTTCTTCCCTTTCCTTCCTTCCTCTCCTTCTTTTTTTTTTCTTCTCCCTTTTCCTTCCTTCTTCTCTTTCCTTCCCTCCCTTCTCTTTCCCTTATCCCTTCCTTCTTCCCTCCCTCCTTCTCTCTTCCCTCTCCCTCTCTTCTCTTTCTTGTTTACAGACCTGTGCGTAACTAACTTCTTCCTCTGTCAAAGTACTCCTGATCCTTAATTCCTTACTTACTTCCTTACTTCACTGCATGCCTTCTCCTGGTTGTTCATGGTTCTATCATCCACTTTCTTCCCCATGACCGTCATTACTTCCGCCAAGTATTTCATTCATACTCCCTTCCGCCTTCCTTCAGTTCTATCGTGCCCATGGTATTCAGTCTGTCTCCTTAATTCATAATGGCCTGTCCGTACTTCCTTCCTGCCTTCCTTGCACTTCATTCGACATACTGGATGAAGCAATTTACCCCCTTCCTTCTTCCTCCCTCCTTTTCTCTTCCTCCTCCCTTCTCTTCTTCTTCTTTCTTCCTTCTTCCTTCCTTCCCTTTCCTTCCTTTCCTCCCTCCCTTCCTTTCTTCCTTTCCTTCCTTCCTTCCTTCCCTTCCTTTCTTCCCTTCTCTTTTTCCTTCCTCCTTCCATTTCATCCTTCCTTCCCTTTTGTTTTTCCTTCATCCTTTTTCTTCCCTCCTTTCCCTTCCCTTCCTTCCTTCCTCTCTTCCTTCCTTCTTCCTGCCTGCCTTCCTTTCCCCTCCCTCCTCCTCCTTCCTTCCTTTCTCCCTCTTTCTCCTTCCTTCCTTCTTCCCTCCCTTTTTCCCTCCTTCTCCTTCCTTCTCCTTTCCTTCCTCCTTCTTCTTTCCTTCCTTCTTCCCTCTTCTCCTTCCTTCTTCCTTCCTCCTTCCTTCCTCCCTCCCTCCTTCCTTCTTTTCTTCTCCCTTCCTCTTCCCTCCCTCCCTTTTCTTTTTTTTCCTCCTTCCTTCCTTCCTTCTTCCTCCTTCCCCCCCTTCCTTCTTCCTCCCTTCTTCCTTCCTCTCCTCCTCCCTTCATCCTTCCCTCCTTTCTTCTTCCTCTTTTTCTCCTTTTCCTCCTCTTCTTCTTCCTTCCCTCCTTTCTTTTCTCTCCTCTTCTTCCTTCCTTCCTTCCTTCCTTCCTCCCTTTTCCCCCTTTCTCTTCCTTCCTTCCTTCCCTCTTCCTTTCTTCCCTCCCTCTTCTTCCTTCCTCCTTCTTCTTCTTCCCTCCCTTTCTTCCCTCTTTCTCCTTCCTTCTTCCTTCCTTCCTTCCCTCCCTCCCTCCCCTCCCTTCCCTCCCTTCCCTCCTCCCTCCCTCCTCCCTCCCTCCTCCCTCTTCCTTCCTTCCCTTCCTTCCTCCTTTCTTTTCTTCCCTCCCTTCTCCTCTTTCTCCCTCTCCTTCTTCCTCCTTCCTTCCTTCCTTCCTCTTCCTTCCTCCTCCTTCTTCCTTCCTTTTCTCCTCTTTCTCCTTCCTTTCCTTCCTTCCTTTCCTTCCTTCCTTCCTTCCTTCCTTCCTTCCTTCCTTCCTCCTCTTCCTTCCTTCTCCCTTTCTTCCTCTCTCCTTCCTTCCTTCCTTTCCTTCCTTCTTCCTTCCTTCCTTCCTTCCTTCTTCCTTCCTCCTTCCCCTCCCTTTCCTTCTTCCCTCCCTTCCTTCCTCTCTTCCTCCCTCCCTTCTTCTTCCTTCCTTCCTTCCTTTCTTCCTTCCTTCCTCTTTCCTCCCTCCCTCTCTCCCTCCTTCCTCTTTCTTTCTTTCTTCCTTCATACCTTTCTTTCTTATCCCTTGTTTGGACACCATTCGAACTGCCACGGGATCCTGGAAGTTGTAGTTTGACAAGGGCCTGCTCTGCTGACCTGCAACTCCAAGGATGCCTTAGCGTGGAGCCTGAAGCCGTGGTTATATAAAGCTACTGGGTGATAAATGCATAGGCGCGCACAGCAACCCAATGGCTGGGGATCTGCTCGGAAGGGCCTGTGCCGAGGGATGAAAGGAGCCCATTGCCAGGTTCCTGCAACATATGATTATGTCGGCTTTCGAAGCAGGCGGGGAGGCCGTCTGCGCAGACACCTCTGGAAAAGAACACGCCAACATTTGTTCCAAAAACAGAGCGTAGGAGGCAAAAAAGGGTGAATCAGACGCATGGCACCAGCCCACAGAGCACTGCAATCTGGAGGAAAGAACAGCCTGCACTCCTCATGGCACTGCTTGCCTCCAAAGGCACCATCAAAGCCCTCTTGACAGATGGCTGTCCGGTTTCCATCATCATCAGGTCATCATCAATATTATTATTATCAACGATGATGACAATAGTGATGTTTATGGAATCGCAAAGTTGGAATGGATCCCAAGGGCCATCCAGTTTCATTCTGCCACGCGGGAAAGCACCATCAAAGCCCTCCCGACAGATGGCCATCCGGTTTCCACTTGGAAACTTCCAGATAAGGTTATCATTATTATTATCAACGATGATAATAGTGGTAATGATTATGGAGTCCCAAGAATGGATTCCAAGGGCCATCCAGTCTCATTCTGCTCTGCAGGAAAGCACCATCAAAGCCATCCTGACAGATGGCCATCTGGTTTCCACTTGGAAACTTCCAAATATGGTCATCATCATCATCATTATTATTATCAACGATGATGACAATGGTGATGATTATGGAGTCCCAGAGTTGGAATGAATCCCAAGGGCCATCCAGTCGCATTCTGCTATGCGGGAAAGCACCATCAAAGCCCTCCCGACAGATGGCCATCCAGTTTTCATTTGGAAACCTTCAGATAAGGTCATCATCATCATTATTATTATTATCAACGATGATAATAGTGATGATTATGGAGTCCCAAGAATGGATCCCAAAGGCCATCCAGTCTCATTCTGCTATGCAGGAAAGCACCATCAAAGCCCTACCGACAGATGGCCATCCGGTTTCCACTTGGAAACCTCCAGATAAGGTTATCATTATTATTATTAAAGATGATGATGGTGATGATTATGGAGTCTCAGTGTTGGAATGGATCCCAAGGGCCATCCAGTCTCATTCTGTGATGCAGGAAAACACCATCAAAGCCCTCCTGACAGATGGCCATCTGGTTTCCACTTGGAAACCTCCAGAGTAGGTTACCATTATTATTGTCAAAGATGATGACGATGGTGATGATTATGGAGTCCCAGGAATGGATCCCAAGGGCCATCTAGTCTCATTCCGCTCTGCAGGAAAGCACCATCAAAGCCCTCCCGACAGATGGCCATCTGGAAACATCCAGATAAGGCTATCATCATCATTATTATTAAAGATGATGACGATGGTGATGATTATGGAATTGCAGAGTTGGAATGGATCCCAAGGGCCATCCAGTTTCATTCTGTGATGCAGGAAAGCACCATCAAAGCCCTCCTGACAGATGGCCATCCGGTTTCCATTTGGAAACATCCAGATAAGGTTATCATTATTATTATTAAAGATGATGATGATGGTGATGATTATGGAGTCCCAGAGTTGGAATGGATCCCAAGGGCCATCCAGCCTCATTTTGCCATACAGGAAGACACCATCAAAACCTTCCCGATAGATGGTCAGCTGGTCTCTGTTTCGAAACCTCAAGATGAGATGACTCTCCATCATCATCAAAGGTAATGAGGATGATAGAATCCTAGCGTTGGAAGATACAATCAAAGCCCTCCCAACAGATGGCCATCCCGCCTCTGCTTCAAAACTTCCACCGGACTCCAAGGAAGCGGCATATTCCATTGACAAACAGCACTTACTGTCAGGATGTCCTTCCTAACATTTAGGGTAAGTTACACTCTCTCAGCCTCAACCTTGTAGCAGGAGAGCTTGCATTGTCTGTAGCAGGAGAGCTTGCATGGAGAGGTGAGGGTTGGACTAGATGCCCCCTGGAGATCCCTCCCCCATCCATGATTGCATGACTATGGCTTCTCTCATCCTAGGAAATGAGGTCTTGAGCAATGACTTCCAGTTAGGAAGGGTTGACTCAGGCCCCGAGGCCAAGCTTTGCTGGATTCCTTCCCCACGAAATCAGAGATATTGGACACACGATGAGGGTGAGGCTGGGCTGACATCATCCCAAGTGAAAGGGGATCACATGCAGGCTCACGTGAGTGAAAGTGCTTCGGGAAGAAAGGAAGGAAAGAAAGAAAGGAAGGAAGGAAAGAAAGAAAGAAAGAAAGAAAGAAAGAAAGAAAGAAAGAAAGAGAAGAGAAGAGGAAAGAGAAGGAAAAGAAGGAAAGGAAAGAAAGTAGGAAGGAAGAGAGAAAAAGAAGGGAAGGAAAGAAAGAAAGAAAGAGAGGGAAGGAGGAGGAAGGAAGGAAAGAAGAGAAGAAAGGAAGGAAAGGAGAAGAAAGAGGGAGGGAGGGAAGGAAGGAAGGAAGGAGGAAGAAAGAGAAAAGGAAAGAAGAAGGAAGAGAGGAAGGAAGGAAGAGAAAGGAAGGAAGGAAGGAAGGAAGGAAGGAAGGAAGGAAGAAAAAAAGAAGAGGAAGGAAGGAAGAAGAGAAAGGAAAAAGGAAGAAAGGAGAGAGGAAGGAAAGGAAGGAAGGAAGGAAGGAAGGAAGGAAGGAAGGAAGGAAGGAAGGAAGGAAGGAAGGAAGGAAGGAAGGAAGGAAGGAAGGGAAATAAGGGGGAGGAAAGGAGGAAGGAGGAAAGGAGGGAGGAAAGGAGGGAGAAAGGGAGGAAGGAAAAGAAGGAGGGAAGGAAGGAGAAGAAGAAGGAGAAAGGAAAGGAAGAAAGGAAAGAAGGAAGGAAGAGAAAGAAGGAAAGGGAAGGAAGAAAGAAGGAGAAAGGAAAGGATGGAAGAAGAGAAAAGAAGAAGGAGGAAGGGAAGAAGGAAAGGAAGAGGAGAAGAAGAAGGAAGGAAGGAAGGAAGGAAGGAGAAAGAGAATGAAGGAAAGGAAGAAGGAAGGAGGAAAGGAAGGAAGAGGAAGGAGAAAGGGAAGAAGAAAAGGAAGGAAGGAGAAGGAAAGAAGGAAGGAGGGAAAAGGAAGGAAGGAAAGGAAGAAGAAAGGAGGAAGGAAAGAAGGAAGGAAGAAAGGGAGAAGGAAGGAAAGAAGAGAAGGAGAAAGGGAAGGAGGGAGGAAGGAGAAAGGGAAGAAGGAAAGGAAAAAAGGAAGGGAAAAAAGAAAGGAGAAAGGAAAGAAAGGAAGGAAAAGAAAAAGGATAAAGGAAGAAGAAAGGGAGAAAAGAGAAAGGAGAAAGGAAAGAAGGAGGAAGGAAGGAAGGAAGGAAGGAAGGAAGGAAGGAAGGAAGGAAGGAAGGAAGGAAGAAGGAAGGAAAGAAGGAAGGAGAGATCTATTTTTTTTATGACTGAAGGTATAATGGGACTTGGGCATCTATGGAAGTGGGGTATCTATTGGGGTCTTGGAACCAGTATTTGATATCTAAATAGGACCCAAAGTCGACTGTCAGTTCTTCCACCTAAAGTAATAATAATAGTAATAATAATAGTAATAGTAATAGTAATAGTAAGTTCCCTTCCCCATAGACAGACATGTGTTTCTTGCTTCAAACAAGCCAGACATGTGGACTCTACAGAAACACACCAGCACATTGTGGCTGCATCTACACAGCAGAATTTAACACAGTTTGACACTTGAACAGCCATGGCTCAAGGCTATGAGAGTTGTAGTTTGGCGAGATCTTAGAGAGTCCAAAACCAGTCCCAAGGACTCCAGAATGTAACCCGAAAACACCTAGAACAAGCCCTAAACACCCCCGAACTAGTGAAAAAGACCTAAAATATGTCCCCAAGACCCCCAAACTACCTCTAATGTCCCCAAAACAAACCCCAAAGACCCAAAAACAAACCTCAAAAAACCCAAAATTAACCCTCAAGATTCAAAAGTAGCCCCAAAGACCCCAACACGCAACCCTAAAGACCCAAAACAAGCCCTAAAGACCCCAAAACTAGCTCTAAAAACCCAGAATGAGCCCTAGAATCCCCAGAACTGGTTGTAAAGAACCCCAAACAATCCCAAAACAGCCAAATAGACCCAAAATTAACCCTTAAGGCTGAAAAGTAGCCACAAAGACCCCAAAACGTAACCCTAAAGATGCAAAACAGGCCCCAAGACCCCCCAAATAGTCCTAAAGACCCCAAAACTATCCCTAAAGACCCTCAGACAAGCTCCAAAGACTCAAAACATAGCCCTAAAGATGCAAAATAGGCCCTAAAGATCCCAAAACTGGTCCCAAAACCCCCCAAACAAGCCACAAGACCCCCAAACTAGCCCAAAGACCCTCAGACAAGCCCCAAGATCCCCAACATATCCCTAAAGACCCCAAAACTATCCCTAAAGACCCCCAGACAAGCCCCAAGACCCACAAACTAGCCCTAAAAAACCCCAAACTACCCCTAAATAACCCAAAACAAGCTCCAAAGATCCCAAAACATAACCCTAAAGATGCAAAACAAGCCCTAAAGGTCCCAAACTGGTCCCAAAGACCCCCAGACAAGCCCCAAGACCCCCAAAATAGCCCTAAAGACCCCAAAACCAGCCCTAAAGACCCCAAAACAAGATCCAAAGATCCCAAAACGTAACCCTAAAGATGCAGAACTAGCCCTAAAAAACCCCAAACTAGCCCTAAAGAACCCAAAACAAGCTCCAAAGACCCCAAAACGTAACCCTAAAGATGCAAAACAAACCCTAAATATCCCAAAACTGGTCCCAAAGACCCCAAATAAGTCCCAAGACCCCAAATGAGCCCTAAAGACCCCAAAACTAGCCCTAAAGACCCCAAATCAAGCCCTAAAGACCACAAAACCAGCTCCAAAGACCCCAAAACATAACCCTAAAGATGCAAAACAAACCCTAAATATCCCAAAACTGGTCCCAAAGACCCCAAATAAGTCCCAAGACCCCAAATGAGCCCTAAAGACCCCAAATCAAGCCCTAAAGACCTCAAAACCAGATCCAAAGACCCCAAAACATAACCCTAAAGATGCAAAACAAACCC